CTCTACTAAAAATAGAAAGAAATTAATTGGACAACTAAAAATATATAGAGAAATTAGCCGGGCATGATGGTGCATGCCTGTAGTCCCAGCTACTCGGGAGGCTGAGGCAGGAGGATCGCTTGAGCCCAGGCAGTTGAGGTTGCTGTGAGCTAGGGTGACATCACGGCACTCACTCTAGCCCGGGCAAAAGAGTGAGACTCTGTCTCAAAAGAAAAAAAAAAAGAAAAATAGGTGGCCGGGCATACCCAGGCTTTGGCAATGTGGGTGTGGAAGAAAGTCAACAGGTCTGTGGAACATGAGATGCTGGTAAGCACGTCATTAGCCTGGGCAGTCACCAAATAAGAGCAAGGTGGAGAGGGAGGGAGAGGGACTGAATTTATGAGGAGGATGTCAAACAGATCTGGGAAAGTCAGCAAGTGGGTGAAATGTGAGGACTGGAAGTCAGTGAGACGAGTCTTGGTATTAAAGATTCTGAAAGAGGAGCAGTCCTGGGTGGTGACACAGTCCCCAACAGTGGACTGTTGGGACTTCCGAACTAGAGTGGAGGTAAAGGCGGCCACAGTAGGAGAGGTCAGGGACGTGAGGCCAGAGGTTACCCTTCGGAACACAGGCTTCTGTCCTGGGACGCCATGAGTGCAGGCAAAGATGGTCACTCAAGGCAAAACCAGATAGACAAGGAAGAGACTGCTGGTGAGCAGAAAATGTCAGGAGGGAGAGAGTCAGGGGAAATTAAAAGAGCTGTTTAGGCCAGGAAATTCAACATGGCAGTGCATCCAGCAGAGCACATCAGTGTTAGAACCGTTGACAGCAAAATGAGGCAATTTGTTGGCAAAGGCAGAATGACCTCTCAGATATCCTTGTGGTGATAGCTGGAATTTTGGTTCAGTACCTTGCTCGCTATTTTACTGCGTGGTGTATTCCTTTGGAGGTCTTTGTCACTTAGACTATGAATTCCTTAATCGTAGAGCTCTGTCTTCCTCATTTTTAAATCCCCACTACTTAATGCTGTGCCTGACACATGGTAAATACTCAATGAAACATTTTTCTGGATGAAAAAAATGAAAGAAATCAAGCAGCGCCATGCTTCCAATGAGAACTTTGGAGTGAGGGTATCTCTACAAAGGCCTCCTCCTGAGTGGAAGAAGAGAGGGATGCTATTCGTTGCTTACCTTCTTAGGATGCTTTTGAACATTTTGTTTGGTGGCTATCTGGGGAATGTGAGTGAACTATGATTGGTGATGAACAATTCACGGAGCTGGAGGTAAGAAACATGACTGTTGCCTAAAAAATAAAAGAAATAATGAAGATATCATTTTCCTCTACCTAAGCACAAAATATTCAGTATCTCAAGCTTAGTCTCTGCTCTCTTCAAGCTCTCTCCCAGGGAACCTTCTCTTTACCCCTGGCTCCAGATATCACCTCTGTGAGCACACAGCCATTCCCTTTGTCTCTGGATCCATGTCATCTCTCAGAAGCCCCTGAGGCTCGACTTTGCAATAGCAGAATTAATGATCTTCCACTGTAGTCTTCCAGGGTTTCTCTCCCAGGGCTTCACACCACCTTCCCCAGAAAGCCAGGAACCCAGGAATCAACCTTGATGAGTCCCCTTTCCTCATTTCCCACATCTAATCCACCAAATCTTTCCAATTTGAAGATATAAAAGACCTCTTGAATTCCTCCATTTCTGCATTGTCAAAGCTACCACCCAGTCCTGGGATTCTGTAATATCCCAGAATGGATCTACCAATGTCTGTTCCAGGTCCCCTCCAATCTCCTCTCCACCACACGGCTAGGATGATCTTTTCAAAACTCAAATCTTAGGGCGTCATATTCCTGTTTAAAGCACCTCTTATGACTCACGATGCTTTGAGCCCTAAACACTACTTACGAAGAGGCTGCATATGGTCTGACCCCCTGCCCACGGCTCTGGGCTCATTTTGCACACTGTGTTTTTTCACTCTCTCTGGGGGCCAACCAGAGTGGGTTTCTCTCATTCTTTGACAGTCACCGTGCTGTCCTGCACCCCTTCCCATCCCCCAACCTCCACCAAGGCCTTTGTACACGCACATCCGTCCCCACCTCATGTAGTTAACCCCTGTACTTCTTTCTGATCTCAGCTCAGACATGATGTCCTTGGAGGAGCCATTAGCTAGCTCTCTGACAAGGTGAAATCCCTTTGTATATTTCCCCATAGAAATATGGCTCCCATCTTTATAGCATCATCTCAGTTATGATTTTATTTCTATGCACATGGGACTGTTTCACTTATGTTTGTGTCCCTCACTAGACTCTAGGCTCTGTGAAGGGCAAAAATGCTGTGTGCTTTTGCTAAGTGCAGTGCTTGGCACATAATGAGTGCGCAATAAATAGTTGTTAGATGAGCGAGTGAAGAAAGCAGAGAACACTTGTGTGTTGTTATTATTAATAGCTGTAGTCACTGTAATAAAGTCCTGTTTCTCTGGTCCATCCACTGGGACTTGGGAGTAGTGTAGTCACAGGTAACTCTTTCAGGCAATGGTCTCCATGATAATTTAACTAAGAGTGAAGGCCAAAATGGTGGGGTTTTGTCCTGGTTCTGCAATCATGTGGCCTTGGGCAAGTTATAACTTCTTGAGGCCTAAATTCTAAATTTCACCTACAGATTAGGTGTCACCTTCTGCCCTTGGACTCTTACCAGCTGTTTTCTCCACATCCTCTTCACCCTTCCTTCCTACCTGCCTCCTCAGCTGGAAATGACTGAGGGCCTCCTACAAAGGAAGGGGAGGGCCTGAAACAGATCGGGCTTCTCCGTGGGAGGACTGAGAGGAAGCGCACCACGTGGGGTGGGTACCGTGGGTGCCTTGGTATTCAGAACCTAATGCTGTATTCTATTTCTTCAGACAAACCAGTTTTGAAACACAAGGCTTGAAAATCTGGCAGGACAAGAAACTAGTCCCAAACACAATTTGTTGCATGCAAGCATGTTAATTCATCAAATTTAAATGCAGTGACCTAGGAGCCTGGGTTAGGTGTATTGATCCCCCTCCTTGTTTAATTGGGATGATGTGTACTCAGATTGATATCTTTCAAGCTCAGTTATGGCCATGCAGTATAGAATTTTGAGCTGCTATTGTTTATTTTCTACGTATTTTGCCTAAATATTTTATGGTTAATGATGGGGATTAACTTGTTTTTGAAACTGGAATCCTTCTTCAGAAGAGACTCAAAAAGTTGACTCCTCTATCTAACCAACTTTTGGATCCCAAACTATCCTCAGCAGACAAAGTCCAGTTTCACTAGCAAGGAGGTGGCCCCATCCCATCCTACAGACTTGCAGTGTGCAGCTTGCAGTGGCCTCTCTGTGTGTTAAGTTCTCCATCTCTAGAATGGTGACAGTGGTTCTTACCAATCTCAGAGTGGTGTCATGAAGTCACCAAACAGATACTGGAAGAAAACAAGAGTGATTCATCTTGTAGGACAATAAATCTATATTTTCCTCAAATTCTCCAGTTTGCATAAAAACCTTCTCCCGAAAAGAATGTTTACACTGGATGCATCTATACCTGATGTGACAATTCCAAACTACACCCCAACCACCCACTTCCGAATAGGGAAAACAAAAAAATCAGAAGCCTGCAATTGTGTAACATGTAAATCTCTTTTGGACCAGGGCCCATCACTGTGGTTTGGCAACACAACCAGCACGTCTCTTTTCTCATCTCTTGGGGGAAAAAAAAAAAAAAACAGAGAAAAAAATACCTTGAGAATAAAGGTAATGATTAATCTGTCAGGCACAAAAAGGATCGTTTTGGGGATTTCAGGTTCTAACTTGCGAATTCCAACAAATAGCAGGGAACAGAGAACGATGGTTCCACCAGGAGAGGATTAAGTCACAGCCTCTAATTGGCACAGCATTCGTACAGTCGGAGAACCTCACCAGACATCTCCAGGAATCCGTGAGCACTTGTCAAAACTTCCATTTTTTCGTGCGTGTGAAGCTGGGGACCAGAACAGGCAGGTGTTAGCCGAAACAGTCGTCATCTGAGAAGCCCACAATGCAGCCTGAGAAAGGAGAGAAGGGGAAAAGCTTGAAGCAGAGACTGGCCTTGAAGAGGAACTTAGCAAAAGAAACACTGGCCGAGTTCTTGGGCACGTACATCATGGTTGTAAGTATTCCTGAATTTCCTAAATTCTGACCCGATAATGCTTCCCTAGCTGTCAAACTGGCAGTGGAGAGTTTTGTTTTGGTTTGTTATAACTTAGCTATCAGATTCATCTCTTCCAGGAAGCAACAAGTTACTAGAGGCTGTTTGGCTATTTAGTGGCCATAATATTAGGTTTTCATTTACTCGTTGCATTTATCCACAAAAGTTGACGGGGATGGAAGAGGGGGAGTGATGTGCTTTCTTCATTTCAGGTATCTGCTCCGACTCTAAAATGGTTTTATGATTTAAAAATCAGTCGTTAGGAATTATTTTCACTGATGAATTGATCGTACCCTGCTTGCTTTCCCCAAGCACTGGGGAAACTCCGTTACCTGAAATAAGCATGGACAGTCAATAAATGCAGATGGCAAGAAACCGCTCATTATGACAAGTGCTTGGCAAAGCTTGTGTTGTCAGATCACTTGACTTTTAACAAATTAGAAATTGCACTAGGTAGAAGTAAGGTACTATGCAATAGTCCAGCTTTGGATTTGTGTCATTTTTTTTTTTTTGTCCCTCTCTTTAACTCAAGGTAATCTCTAAAGATCTTTCATTAGACAGTTACAATAACCTTCTTGATATAAACGACGGACTGATTCTAAGAACCTCTTGAGGATTTGTCCAGATATTTACTCAGCTATTAACAAGAGACTGGGAAGTTTACTTAAGTGGCGTGGGCTCTAGGCTTTATCCTGCTACATGTTCTAGCATTCTCTGAATCCTGCAGCCAGACCATTTGTGAATAGCTAGAGCTATTCCATTTGTGCATAGAAAATTATTGTCATGTGGCAACTATTGATTTCAATCTTTTTTATATATATAAAAAAAATACCTGTTCAAAGATTTCCTACTTCGGGTGTAAATAAATTTATTTTTCTTAAGGTTATAGAGAATTGCCCATAAGCTTTATACATTAGAAGTTCTTTGCATAGGATAAATATATAATAATTTAGAAGAATAAGTTTAGAATTTGTCAGCTAAGCCAAGATTGAGAAACAAATGTGAACTCAAAAAATTGAACTAGTGTAACATGAAGAAAGAGTCAAAAGTTTTCTGGTCTCTGAGAGATTCTTCTTCTTACCCAGTTCATTCAAGTATTTTTAGGGAGTTACGGACAGGACTGAGACTCTTATATTACTTGACAATCTGGCCCCAAAGAGGAGAGCAGTCATCACCACAGACTGATTTCAGCCTCATGGTGACATGTGGTGCAGAAAAGTGAAGCAGATTCAGTTACAATTCTTAGTGCTCCGCAGAAAACAAAGAAAAAGACGTGAATTAAACATCCTTTTTTGGCAACTGAAAAATTTAAAACTCTCTTTATTTCTTAATGAGAACCTGTTTCATAATCCCATACTTTCTGAATTGAGAAGGTAAAAGTTGCTTTCAGCCATTCACTATTCCGCTCATGCAACTAGTAGGGTGTCTTCCCCAGTACTCAAGGTTGGGGATAAAGAAATAATATCGTCATGTTGTATGTTGAAAAATTAAACTTTGTATCCTTGGGCTAGAGCCAATCATTTCCCGAAAGAATTAATTTCTATTTGTACTGTACATTTATTTTCTAAAGTGAACGCTGATGAAATCTGTAATTGTGATTATAATCTTCAGTCTTGTTGAGGCTTATGGGGATGTGTAAACAAGAATTTTCTGCACGAACACGGTATTTTTTTAGATTTACATGATTTTGCTCAAAGGTTATAGAAAGTATTTGCTTCCACTTTATTTAGATGCATTTTGCCTTGCTTTTCCTTGTAGAAAGCTTTACATATTGATAAGACATGGAGGAAGGGAACATTAAAAAGATGGCAGAGGATATGCGGGACTCACTGGTTCTTTAAATTTTTAAGGTTGTTTTTTCCCTTGACCTTGGGAGTCTGGTGCCATTCCCTCCCTCCCCCACAAAGCTGCTCTTAGAGGAAGCATCTCAACCTTGTTCACACTACGGTGTAAAGGACTGATAAGGCCTACTGGCAGCATTAAGGGAAGACAGGATCCATGAAAAATTCTTTGTAAACTACACGAAAACCAACAATAATTAAGTCCTAAGCCAAAGAACTAGCTCTAATTTGGGATAGACAGGCCTTTCACCTTTACTAGTGTTGGGATGAAGTTTGCAATGCATTTTCCTACCACAGAGAAAAGGTTTCAAAGCGTTGAGCTGCAAAGATAGGAAACATGTGTTAAATACCTAACATAAGTTAGGTTCTTTGTATACATTTGTTTAATCCTTATGGTAACTGCATTAGAAAGGCTTTATTTTCACCCATAAACAGTCAGAGAAAATGAGGCCTCAAAGAGATGAAGTAACTGGCCCAAACTAGGAAAGCATCGAACTAAGGTTCTTTCTAATTCTAGAGCCTACACTTTTTATAACACTTCCCATACATTGCTGGAATCCCTCGGGCAATGTCCTTGGTAGATGTGGAATCAGACTCCCTCTGCTTCAACATATCCATAGATTGGAGCCATGAGTTCGCTGTTATTTGCTTGTGGACGTGCGAGTGTAACTGGTGGGTGTGCTGAGGAATCAGACTGTTAGCTCTACCCTGAAGCTGGGGTCTTTGCTTTCTCTGAAGCACAAAATACTACTCAATGCAGGTGGACAGGTGTGAGGCGAGCGTAGCAAACAGGAGACTGTTGAGCCCCCTACACCTGCACCTGGGGCCTGGGGACATGCAGCTGCAGAAGCTGCATCAGCACAGAGATCCCCCAGGACAACTAACACTGTCCACCTGCTTCCTGCTGCGTCACCTGACTGCATTGTTAGGCTCGAAGGCAATGATTTTAACATCCTTGGTGAGTCTCAGTTTCCTCAAAATGAGATAACACTTCATAGTATTTTTGTGAGAATTAATACATATTACATGTATAGTTCCCGACAAGGAAATGCTCATTAAATGCTAGCTCCCTTTGCCCCATTGAGCCTGTTTCCTCTTCTACTTGAGAGCCTGTCTACTGTTTGAAACAGCTGCTCTGTCTCCTCCTGGGCACCTGCAGGTGAGCGTTGCACAAACACAAACAGGACCCCATGAAGGTGTCTTGCATTGAAATCTCTGCCTTGCGCTGAGCTTCGCAGAGTCTCTCTAGTCATTTCAAGTCATTCTCACAGGGACTATGTTCGCTCCTACTGTTCTATGTATTCTCCTCTCTCTTCAGACCTTCTGGATTCTTGATACTGAGCTCATCTTATTGAAAATGCTGAGGTGAATCACCCAGCAAGCAGCCACATTTCCTCCCAGGGTGGAATGACACCCTTCCAGGGCAGGACTTTCGAGTAGGCAACATCTCCTCCGCGTAGTAGGGAAGACCCTAAATTCTTTCTCACACTACCAGGCTTCGATATTAGAGATCTTCCTTTTGGCACCTCTGAGAGTGAAAAAAAAAATGCAACTATTTCTGTGAAAAGTAGCACCCTTGATCTGTGCCCTGAAGGGGAACAGAAAGGAGCTATCCCAGAATCCAGAATACAGAGGTTGTGGAGTGGGCCGTGCAAGAGGGGATAGGAAGGATGGGGTAGGTCAACTGCATGTGAGTGTTTCCTACTTCCTGTGGGGATCACAGGGTTTTTCATTCCATTCTGAGAGGATCCTCAGTCAGATATGTCAGCTATAGAAATTCCAGGGCTTTAAAATGATTATTACAAAGTGTGTTCAGAACTTGGAATATGTCTGTTCCATCTTAGCTTTTGAAACAAAAGAATATACGGTCAGCATTTGGAGTGAAATCGGAAAGTTCTTAAAATAAGCCAGATTTTGCTTTGCGGGGCATAATCCAGGACAACTTTGGTCTACCATGTTATTTTCGAATCCCAGATACTGATAGGGGAGCTCTGGGATGGGGTGGGCATACGTCACTGGCCCCTGTCATTGGTGGAGAAGCTGGGGCACAGACTGACACAATCCTGTGTCCTTGGAGCCAGTTGCCCTGCACTGGGCATACACAATGTCCTGGGGTTTCTACTGTGCTCTTGCTCCAAGGAGCACAGAATGTTTGCTCATCCGGATTCTTTTTTTTTGTTTGTTTGTTTTTTTG